TATATATATAAAAAATACACACTGCCGGTCAATTTAACACCCATGCACACATGCACGCACACAATGTATATTGTACACACCCACCCATTAGCAACAAGTCTGATATCAATATTATATTTTGTGTACACATACCCTACATCTAGTAGTAAATAAGAAAATCCCTTTTATGGCAATTCTGCAGGCAAAAAAATCAATACAAAATACTTTGTTGTACAAAACTGCATTTTTACACGATCAACCGACATTGTAACATACCCCTCAATAATGCACTACATCCCTACAAAAAAAAAAAAGAATAATCAAATCTTTATACAATTATAAAAAAATTGTAAGCTGCTCTGCAACCTTCCTTTGCTAAAAGTTAGATACATTACACCATTCTAGCAGCAGATTAATAAATAAGGATTAAATAGTCTATTATACAAAGCCATACTGAATGGCAGATTTAAAACCAAAAAGCTTTGCAGATACTTTCACTTCCTACACAAATCTTTTTTTATTAAGAATAAGACTCAGTATAAAACAGGGAAACAGCCAGCACTAGATCTATATCTACAGAAGAGAAGGAAAATCCAAGGGAAGTAAAATATTTAACAGTTTATGGCACCTTTACTGCATAACGTTTTTTTTAAAGGCTCTGTTTCCCTATAACTAGTGAGTAAAGGACTATTTATCTCATAGCTTTTATTAAGCAAACTCGATATAACCAACCACACAGTGGCAAGAGACAGAACCAGCTGTTCCCAGCTGCAAAAATGTATTGATTTCCACCCCAAAATATCATCATTTAGCTGTCAAGAAAAGAAGCAGTAAGTCACAGTCCCGCTCGTACTGAGTTTTCTAATGCTGCTTTGTTCCTCGTGTGGCAAATTCACTCTTGTTATTTGCGTTAGGTTACCGTCGCTTAGTAACTATTTTCATGTCCAGCCAAGATGTAGAGATTGCTGTGTGCGGTCGGATTTTCTGTTGGCCTGCTTTCTAACACTACCACTCTGCAATCAAACACAAACAGAATCCCAAATGGTTAGTGGCAAAAATTCAGAGCACAGGGTTTAACTGCTGAGGAGGAACAAACTTGTTGCTCACAGGTTTCTAGAGATTGGAGGGATATTGGTTCTCCTAAATATCTTGAGTATTTAATTCTTTGAGTTACTTAATTTTCCAGCATCACTTCTGATAAAAACACTGAGGTGGAATATACAAGGAGCAGAGGACTTGAAGCAGCTTCTTGAACCAGAATCCACCCCTCTCAACCAGAGGCACATGCAACGTGTTACAAACCTCTTCCAAACTGACATCCTCCTCCTTGAAATAAGCTATGTCCTCTGCTCCTGTTGGGAAGCTATCTCAGAGCCAGAATGTTGTGAGACACAACCCTCCTGCAGTCATCCGCAGTCTGAATATGTTTATACCTCCTACATCTTGCGATAAGCATCAGCCCCTAACCTAAACTGTTCTCCTCCCTTCTAAATATTTATAAGGTGCCGGGTTCATAGTGAACACTCAACCCCATCTCAGCCTTTGTCTTGCTGGATCATGTTCCTGTAGGCTCCTCTGGAAAACCTCTCCCCGTTTTGGCGCGCTGACCACTGTCTCCTACACATCTCTCCCATGCTGAACCTCGACAATCACCTCAGCAGCTGATCTGGTTGGGCTTTGACCTCTCCTCTCCCTTCCAACTGCTTAGCTCCTGCATTTCTCTGCACCAGTTCCTACAAGTGCATCCTGTCATTTTCAAGATGAAACTTCTCTCTGCTTTTTGTTTTCTACCTGTGTTTCAGATAAGCCAAATATGCCACTTGAATGAGTTTGATTTCGCCAGGGGAGCCTGGCTCAGGTGAGCATTGCACACACCCCCATCCCGTGTCGCATTCCTCAGAGAGTTTTCAGATGCAGTCTCACTCTTAAGAGCCTCTGTCCCTGATCTTTGCTTCTGCAACTCAGTAGTTCTTAACTGATCCAAACCACAAAGGTGCTACCACATCTCATTCACATGCATGCGGTAGATCTGCTGTGTTTGTAGTGATGGAAAAATAACAAAACAACGGATCTGGCAGTTCAGTGAGATCAGAATGGAAGAAAGCGGCTTCTCTGCAAAACTGCACATAGCAGGAGGACTTCAACCCTATCTCCAACCCCCAAAAGTACTTTGTACTAAGTTGTTACTCAGATATACATGTCTTCTATAATAGTGCAAGCTGAACCGGAGGAGACACTGCTGTCCACCCCTCTGTGTGCTTGGGATGTTCTGTGTGCACCAGCCCAACACAGAAATATGAACCATTTCAAAGGCACTAATTCCAGTACACAAGAAAGAGTCACTGCTGGAGGCACAGCATGTACCTGGACTAACACATATGGCATCTGGACCTTAGCAAAAGCTCATTCTTGCAATAAAATGTCCCCTGCTCTGCTTGGAGTAACAGGGACGGAAATTCCCCCTGCCTGTCTGCACAAGGACAGAAAAGGCAGGGTATGCACTGGCAGAGGCTGCACTGAGTTTGTATTTTTGAGGTGTTGGAGTCAGCAGTGGTAAGGATCCTCGGTTCCAACTGCAGGGACCAAGCACAGTGGGACCTCGGTGACTCAGGTGCAAAGCAAAGATGTCAGCTGTTTCTTGTACAGCCTACCTCTCCTCTTCAAAACAGCGAGCATCCTGCTCTCAGTCTCTTTCTGGACTGAGGATCCAAGAATGTAAGCATACGAAATTCTGGATTAGGCAGCTCCCATCTCTCCCTGGGGCTTCTCCCCTCACACTGTACCTCTACACATTTGTGTTCTCTCTCTGCAGTGGAAAGTGGGGGAGATCACAGGGCTCTTAGTAAGAATTTTGGACGCAGATGCAACCACTAATTAAATTTTTGGCTGTTGCAAGCAGAAGCAGTGTTACTGCCTCCCCCAGGCTCCCTACAGCTACAGATAGATCTGTGGTGGGCTGGAACCCAGCTCCAGCTGGAAGCTACAAGGCTAGTTTAAATAAAGTAAAAAGTTTATGTTTCATCAAGGTGATTACCTGTCTGATCCCAGTAAGCGGAAAACCCTGGTTTCATCTGATATCTCTTGGGTAACCTGTAGAAAAACGGAGACATTAATGTCCATTTCAGTGGCAAAATGAAATTTATTGTCTCTGTTGTTGGAAGAAAATAAAATCATTTTTGTTGAAAAACTTAAATACAATTTAGTGCAAATTACAGGATCAAATGAGATAAATTGATGCTAAGCAAAGAAGTGCTTTAAATTTCATAAAATACAACTTATTTAAAATAATTTTTGTGTTGTAGATGGTTATTAGTCCACATGACTTGGTGGCATAGATGGAGTATGTTGATCAAATCTTTGTCAGCAGAGACTGAGTACCTTTCCCAGTGTTCTCACAGAGGATGGCATCAAAAAGGACAGAGTTCTTATCGAAAAAAGGGCACTTTTTTAAAGGGACACTAAAAAAAAAGTGTATTTTTTTTTTTAAAAAAAAGGTGTCTTTTTTTAAAAAAAAAAAAGAGATGCTGCAACTCGAGCTTTTCATCCAAGATCCACAAAACCCAAATGCTGCTTACACCAGATCTGTACTGGCTCTGTGCAGACCCAGTTCAGGAGTCTCGGACGGATATTCTTGGAAACAGAGCTGGCTAAAGCATGTGTGTGAGCTTTACCACGAGCAACACACGAAAGGAAGTCAGAGGAAGCAACCAGCAATCTGCAGCAATGACAACATGGAGCATGAGCATTATCACTAGGGAAGCAGCCAGAGGGGCCAAAGGATCAAATGGCAAATAAGAAGCAGGAAGAAATTAAACCTGGAGAGACCGGGAGATGACTTACTTCATCTGACTTAAAGCTTTTGCCCTGCATGCCGTGTTTCCAGAAGGCCAGCACACTGTCTTGAAGGCACACTGCAAAGGAGAAACACAAAACCAGACCTGAGTGTGGCTTATCCGAACCAAGGCAACCTGGGCTTCTCACCAGCAGTGATAACGGGAGGCGTGTGCAGAAAGTACAAGGTGAGACTTGGACTCCTGGTAGAAGAACCAATCTCCAAAATCACCGTAGAAAAAATTGATTGAAATGACTATTTGGATCTGAGAGGCACACTGCTTTTTAAAGTGCAACTCAAAACCTTCCACTCAGACATTCCCTGCTTGCCAGACAAGATAGGCATCTCTCTTTTTTCCTTTTCTCCCTTTCACTTCCATTCTCTGGCTCTTTGTTTTCCAAATGATTCTGGAGAAAACACCAGGAAGTGTATAAACATGCTGCCAACCAAAACACTGTGAGTTGCTGGAAATTACAGATCATTTGAGTTATTATATTTACTTCAAAATAGACATGAGTATGAAAAATAGGAGTCTTCCATTCAGGGCCAAAGAGAGAACACAGAAAGCTACCAGCTCAGAATGATTTAACTACTAGACTGCTGAAAATAATGAAGAGCCTGGTGTTCTTTAAGCAGTGTTACAGAAATATATTTTACACTGTGTTTTATTTTCCTAAATCCTACTTGTCTTCTTCACTATTCCTTCGAGTCACATTTTGTACCTGCTCAGTACTAGCCATGTCCTAAAAGCACAGAACAAAGGCATCCAGCAGAATCCTAGGAGCGATGTTTGTCAAAAGAGCCTCGCACTGATCTTCACCTGCTACTCCCCACTCCACCCTGCCAGCAGAGAATGCAGAGTGGTTTAATACCCTGAATTCCCAAGAGACCACTCGGAGTGTAAAGAACCGTTCACATTACTCAGTGTCAGCTGCTAAGTGCAAGGCTTCAGGATAAATGCTTCTGTCTATGAATTCCTTCAGAGTTCAAGGAAAAGGCAATGGTCAAGTCACGTTACGCGTGCGTCAGCAGGAGATATTGTATGATACAAATACAGCGCTTAATTAGAACATGTCAGAATTTAGGGAAAAATATCTTCCTCTAGGACAGATCTGACATATCTAAATAGAAATGCTGTATAAAAGAATGCGCACTGCTTTACCAACTGCTGGTAAAATCCAAAATACCTACATCAAGAATCTTCTTCTAAAGAGAAGATGCCTGAGGAAGCCAGAAATACCAGTTGTACAGATCTGCTACCAGGAACAAATTGTGTCTTTACCGATTTTCATTCTAGAAAGAAGTTCTGTTTCTGAGATACACAATTACTAAACTCATGCTAACTAGATACTTCCAAGGGTATTACAGCAGAAATATTTGCTTGACAAATACAATTCAAGTTTTAGAAGCAAGGCTGCTGTCCTCTAGTAGTCTAAAGACAGCAGCCTGTCCTCTAAGAATTAGATTCAAATACTATTACCCTGACTGTTAAAAAATGGATCTGCTATCACTTTAAATAACATCTTAGCTTTTAGAAGACTAACACAAATTTATGTATTACTAAAACATTTTCTCCTCCCCAAAGGTTTTTCTCAGTGCTATGGAAATGACAAATGACCAGAAACCAGTAAGCCTTTTTTTTTCCCCCCAACCAAATCATGATACATCTTAGCTATAAAACTGTAATGACACCAGATGGAAACATGCACAGATCAGACACGCTATCTGGCAACTGCCTTACTTTCTTCAGCATGTCCGTGGAGACAAAGAGACAGCTCACAATATCCTGACACGTGCAATTTTTAGTGTCAGGCTCTACTGGGTTCACATAGACCACTGTAGATTATTAAGAATCCTTCAACGCTCATCCCTCTTAGTCCTTGAGAGACAACAGAGAAGCAAATCACTTACCCACTGACTCAATGCAGAAATCAAAGCTCAGCTCGGAGGCCAATTTCTTGCTTGACTTCAATTTCCCTTGTAAATTCACAATTTTCACAAATTCTCAAGAAAAACAGAAAAACAACTATTAAAACCCACTGCTGAAAAGCATTCCATTAATATTAATTTCATCTTTCAGGCACAAAAAAAAAGCCCAAACTGAACATCTGCACTATTTGCCTGAAGTGAATCCAAGGGCATCCTTCTCTCAAAGTAAATACAGAAAACTTTCTTATACACTTTGTATGTTTTTAGACTCTACTGACAGCTTTCCTGCAAATACCAACCAGTGCAGAAATGTGAATGCAACATGAAGGCTGGAAATTTAGGCAGACTAAGCCATCGCAAAGTTCCCATTGAGGCTTTATCTGCTGATGCCTATGAGTTATGGTTATAATTACTGTGTGTGATGGAGTGTTAACTATTTATCCTGCTAGCATATGCAACAGGCACATGTCACTTTTGTCACTTTTACTGGCACATACTTGAATTATGGTCTGTCATGCTGCGTGACGTTTCATTTTGAAAAGAAACAAGGATGATCCACTGGAAAGAGGAATCACAAGAGTCAAAATGAAAACCCACTTCTCTGAACAGTATTAGTTACAAATTAGTAATGAAGGGAGAAAAATTAACTTGTGGTAGAGTTCAAATGAACAACTGTGGCAAAACAAGTTTTGCACAAGGTGCAGTAAGTTGCCCAACAGAGATGTGTTACTTACTGTCCAGGCAGACGAGGACAGTGTCTCTTTCCAGCTGTGTTACGTGAATGGCATCTAACTGCTGATTGCCTTGTGAAAAAGAAAACATTCATTTATATCACATCATCAGCCTCCCCCCCCCTCAACCCCTCACCAATTGCTGCAGCCTTCTCAGTATGCTGCACGTCCTCTGCAATCGACAGTATCTGTTACTCTTTCCATTTTTTTCAAGGCTATATGATCCCAGAATGTTCTGGGAAGAGTACAGGGCCTAAAGACAAACCCCTCAGCTCACAGCAGGTATTTAGTATGAAAGCACTACTGGTTATTGGCATCAAATACATTTTATGTTACAGTTCAGCACAGCAAGTCCGCTTCCTTCATGAAGAGGCACAATAATGAACAAAAGGAATCATCAGGGGAATCTTTGCTCCTAAAAGAATGCTCTTTTCCCATAAATCCACATCTGGAAAGATTACTGTGCTGATATTAAACTAGATTTCATAGTTTTCCTAGTTTTTATTAATGAAGTACTTAGTACAGCTGCTAATAAGCAGTATTTAAATATAATAAATTATATCCAACAAAGCCTGCAGAGAAAAGCATCTGCAAGGTATCAACTAGCTTTTGAAGATAAAACAAAGTCTTCTACTCATTAACAGCCAGCTGAAGATGACAAGCCTCCCCCAAGGGCTGGAGGACAGACAAGAATGTGTTTAAATGGGTCTTTACCCAGGAAAGAAGGGGAAACAGGAGTAAGACTGACCCCAAGAAAAAGTATGCAGCTACATACGAGAACCCCTCAGCAGGGTCTGCATTGCTGTTTAAGGCAATTCAGCAAATAAAAGATGTGTCTAAAACTGAAGTCTTTTCAGTAATATAGTTCATACTGAAGTTGTCAGGTCAGCACAAGAAAGAACCTTGGATTCAGCTTCAACACGCTTTAGGTAGAGAGAAGATCATCACTTTGCCTAGCCTAAAGCTTTCCAAAGGACTTCTGAGGAAGGGATATCCAACAGACAAGAAAACGGCTGCAAGACAGACCAACAATCTTACCTGCACCGATTTCTGTAAACCACGAAGACGCTGAGTTCAAGTTGATTGTCTCGAACTGAACGACCTGATGGGGTTCAGTACCCTTGCTGATGGCTACGCAGACCATGGGGTACTCCTGCTCTGGTATCACTAGCATCTCAAACACATTCAACGGGCTTGGCAAAGGAAAATCAAAGTGCTGGGAAAAAACATAATAAGGCATTTGTAAAGTTTTACCTTGGAGTTAAAAAGACTAAAATAATGTGCACAAAGTATAGAAGATATAGAAGAATTTTTCACTGCTACTGAGAGTGCTTTTTTAAGACAATATGAGCTGGGAGCAACATTAAATTGCATAGGGGTACATGCTAGTCTGTTATTGCTGGTATTGGGCTTGATCCAGCACTTGACTGACTTCAGTCACAAGTTTTCTTAGTCAAAATGTGTCAAGCCAGATTTTCTAGTGCTCAGAACCCACAAATGGGACTAGACTGGGATGTACTTTCCATTACAAATTCTGGAAAGGTTATTTCAACAACTCTATAATGATTAAATGTTCTAAACTAAAATGAAATACTTACCTTTATTAACATGAATTTCTGCATTGGCTCATACCACTGTAGCAGAACAATTCCAGACTGCAATGCACCACACAGGTACTTATGTCCTGTGTATGGATTTCGTACTATATAAAATAAATAAAAACAACAGGAAAACAACCCTTTTTAAGTTCAGTGCATACTTGAAAAAAACCCCTACAGCAATTTTTGCAAATAATTTAAAAAACAGCATCAGTTTCACACCAATTGCCTTCTGGCTTGCCATTCAGATATCCACAGTGATTAATATTGTGCTACATTCCAGATAAATTGAATTATAATTAATAACCACCAGCATTCTTTGAGTCCTAGTAATGAGGCCACATGCCGAGTGGACAGAAAAGCTCCAACACCTTCTTCCTCCAGCTGGGTGAGCAGGAGGAGTGCAAGGTCCAGGTCAAGTTGTGATTTAACTAAAAATAATTCCCAAGCAGTGAAGATGGCCCGTAACTTCAGTGAGCTTTGACAGCTAATGCAATAATATGATAAAGAGTTGGGGGTTTGTTTCGGGTTTTAAATCTCAGTTGGATACGAGACCAGCCTGACTGCAGGAATCATTTGTAAATATGCTGACTGTAGGCACTTTAGACGAGCTAGATAGGATATCCAAGTTTGCAACTAGGTACTTTATACTCTGCTTAAGTATTTTTAAGAGTATAAAGGTACAATTTCCCCCAGGACTAGGGCCAGTCTGCAAAAGGACATGCATTCTGTAGAAAGCCCAAGCCTGTCTGAAAGTCAGTGAAACCAAAGATAAATCTGTAACTTCACAAGCTTTAACTCTTCTGTGTGCACTTAGATCTTGAGCGATAACTTCACTCCTCCCCAGGCTGACATCATTTTTATTCATGTCCAGCCCTTTCTTTGTGGAAAATATTCTTTTTGAGTTAGCCTCCCCAAAAGGTGGATCCAGGTCAAGCCTTGAGCCAAACTGACAGAGCAGAAGGGGTATTTGTGGATGTGCAACAAGTCTGGGATTCTGTAATCGTTACGCTCGCGGGCAGGCTGCAGTCACGGGAACTCGTTGGCCTGGGTGGCAGCCTGAAGCCAGCGATCCCAAACAGCGACTTAGTCACCGAGAGCTGCAGCAGCTCCCAAAGAGAGCGTGCAATACCTGCCAGCTGCAGGCTACTGGCCATCTCCAGGGTTTCCCTTTGGACCTTGCTCTAGACAGCAACATTTCTAGGTTAAGAGCTGATATGAAAAACGCTTTTCTACTGCCCAGCATAAAGACCCCTGCATTAATTGAAAGAAAAGCTACGCACCAGTCAGGCGTACACATACTGTTTTCTGAACAATGAACTAACTATAACTTTATTAAAAAGAAATCAGTTTAAGACATGCTGTGCCCAACGGCAAAAGACGGAAAAAAATTGCAAAACCGAGCTCCTACTCACCTATACAGCATTTGTGGCATCCTTTTGTATCAGGGATCTTTGTCGTTAAGGCAAACTTCCTGGAATAATATTTATGGAAAAAGGCATTAACAAGAGATGCTGAAGGCCCTTCATGCTACCAGTTCAGCAGCACAAACAGTATTTATGGGAATTTATATTTGTTAATAATTATCTGTAAGTGAAAGATTTATACCTTGGTAATATTTTGTCAGGAAACCTATGGGTTTGAATATGAGCAGCTAATCCCGTTTTTTTGGCTTGTTCAAACAAAGCTATTAAATTATGGGAGTAGAGCTGGAACGTTTTCCCTGTAAGAGAGAAAAGCACAATGGATATCACACCCATGCCTCCAGCAGAGAACCGCACATTTTAGAAAAATATATGTAGAGAAAATTACCTTCTAGAGAAACGGAGCACATGTGTTAGGTATTTCAAGTCGAGTTATGAAGAAAAAGAAAACAAGACAACAATAATAATTCACATAGAGAAGACATGGCATCCAACTCAAAGTTCACCTCAGTAACACTACAGCAGCCCTGAAAGTTAGTTTTATGTAGGTGTTTTTAGAAGGCTGTAATTAGACACCAACAATTACTTCTATCTTTATCTATAAATCAATAAAAGTGGCATTACACAAAATCCTGCATGTTTAAAAGCACCGTCCTGCAATTACTCTGTATTGCCACAGTGCTTCTTTTTTCCCTATTCCAGGACAACTGCGGAAAAATAATTTTTTTTTCAAGAATAAATCTGCTGGATTAGTAGTATTTCACAGCCACCTCACTCTCCTTTAAATTGAGACTGGTTTTGGTTTAGGGTGGATTTACTGCCTGAATCCAGTTCATATCAAAGATGCTGCCAGGCTACAACACGCTGAGAACGATCAAACACTGCATCGACATTTGGATAATGCACCTGTGTTAATCCTCTCCTAATTTTGTTCTGACACGTGAAGCCACCCATTTGCAACGCTCCTAGCTCAGGGACCAAAGGAGAGGACACTCTCTAGATTCTCTGGGCACTTCCAGTCAAATTGCAGCCCTGGCAGAGGCAACTCTTGTTTGACAAATACCAAGTGCTGAGCTTTTCCAAACTACCTAAAAATAAATAAGTTTTAAAAAATATGGTAGGATGCTGCAGACAACTGTCTCTACTACTTGTAAACGTCCAGTTTTCTCTCTGAAAGTCTTTTATATCAAACCACTCTTGAAGCCAAGCCTCCTATACAAACACAAGGAACAATGCCCAGTTCTCTACTTCAGTACAATCAAAATACACGGTACTGCATTACAACTTCAAGTGTTTCCCGTTATTTATAATTTTATTAATTTTTTCTCTACTTATACATACCTGACAAGGACATTAAGGTGTTATTGATAACATACAGCCAGGTGCACTTCCGAGGAAATAACTGAAGAAAGAAAATATCTCCATTAATAGAAACACAGAGGAATTTCTAACGGTGGTTTTCTCTGCCTGCTCCACCTCTGCCACCATTCCTGCAGGGACGGACACTGGAGAAAGTCCCAGCAGCACTACAGATTCCCCTTTAATTCACTCCTTTGGACTCTGATTAGCCCTTTTATCTGTCTGAAATAGTTTTCATTCCTTTCCTCTTCTTTCAAAATTCAATTTTTCTTTATTTTTTAATTAGCAGCACAGAACCAAAGTGGGAATACCACATATTGAAAGATACAGCTTGCTCAGGAACGGCAGCCAGAGAAAGAAAGGTAACATTATTGCAGAAACTTACTAAACCCCACAAAAGTCAGAGGAGGGGGAAAAAAGGCATTAGTATCTTCTGAGCAACTTGATTTACCACCAAATGCTGTATTTTGTGGGACTCCCCTGCCTGGCTATTTGTGTTGGCATGCTGCTTTGGGAACAAACAGCTCATGGAAGGCATGGGCCTGATTTTTGTTTCAGAGGGAAGAAGTTACTCAAGGGGGAGCTTAGTCTAGATTTGAAAAGATTTTAAAGTTAAGAAGAACTTTCTGAAAATCTGGATGAGGAAGGGAATTTTGATCAAAGTGATGGCAAATGACAGCATTCAGGAGTCTCAACAAAGGAAGGAACAAGGACAACAGAATAAGGACATGGATTTTGTTAAAAAAAAAAGACTAAATTAATTGAACACTATTTATAGGTAAGGTCCTCCCATAGGAAAAAATTCCAATAAGAAAACCAGGAGTTCATAGAATTGAGCTGTTTCTAAAGGAGACAATTAAAAAAAGACAACAGCAGACTGGTCCAGTGAGGGAAGCTGTTGCACAACACAGCAGAAGACACTTGAATCAAGGCTCTACAAAAGAATGGTTGTACTGGTTCATGGAAATGTCCATCTAACCTAATATCTGTTTCTATCAGTCACCATAAAGTGACATAATTTCTCCTAAAAATGGTGAAAACAAGAGAAAAAGAAATCTGTACAATACTGCAGCTAAGACTGGAAGAGAAGGGGAACAGTTGTTCCCTGGGAACTCTCTTCAAGCCACCCCAGGGCTTGGGTAAATATTTCTTATTTCTCACCCATGCCTTAAAGTATCACAAAATACACAATAGAGAAAATGGAAACAAGGACACAAGGCTAAGGATGAAGGGGCAATTACAAGATAAGCCTGAAGGAAGAAACATAAGAAAGGTTAAGACACAAATCCAATTACCAATAGAAGTTGATAAATGTGGCAACTGGGGAAACAAAAGGCTCGGCCCCCTGCTTGACAGGAAAGAAAGACTGACATGGTTAACACAGTTAACAGCACCGGGGTAGAAACTTGTGCTAGAAGCAGAAAAAGAACACATCACACACTACTTCAACTAGATATACTCATGCCAGCAGGTCCCAATGAAGTTTACTTTACGGTATGTAAGAACTGGCTCAGACCCCAAGGTCTCAGTAATTATTATCTTCAGGAGCTGATGGAGGACATCAAGGACCTCGAGAAGGACAAACACAGCACCTAAGCCAAATAACAAGGGCAGAGGGAATTGCAAAATATTCCCACTGACTGATTGGATATCCAGAGTAGCACAGGAATAAGCCACATACTTTTTAATTCTCAAGAGACAACAAGAGCAGCTCGTGCAGACCAGGCTGTGTTTGAACATCTGAATTTCCTTCTTTCCTGCAGGGACAGGATGAGAGGGAACGGTTTGAAGCTGAAAGAGGGGAGATTGAGATGGGATGTGAGGAAGAAATGTTTTCCTGTGCGGGGGGTGAGGCAGTGGCCCAGGGTGCCCAGAGAAGCTGTGGATGCCCCATCCCTGGAGGGGTTCAAGGCCAGGCTGGATGAGGCTTTGGGCAACCTGGGCTGGTGGGAGGTGTCCCTGCCCATGGCAGGGGGTGGCACTGGATGGGCTTTAAGGTCCCTTCCAACCCAAACCATCCTGGGATTCTATGATTCTTGAACAGAATAACTCCTGCTGGGGGCAGTGAAACAGCAAGATGTGAAACCTATGTGAAGGACCTGGTCCTGTGTGCCATTTCCAGAAGCAAAATAAGAAAATATGGAGTAGAAGAAATTGCAGAAAGAAAACACAACTGGTTGGACATAAAAACAGAGTATCTATCAGCAATTTGCTATTTAACAGAAGGAAAAGGCAGCCTGTACATATCTAATGTCATTTCTAGGTCTGGTTCTGTTCAGTATTTTCACTGAAAAACTGACAATGGAATAAAAGTATACTTCTGAAATTAGGAGATACTAACCTTGGAGAGACAGTAAGCTCTTTGGAAGATGCAATCAGAATCAGAAGTTAGAGAAACAGTTAAAAATGTTCATTTGGTGGAGAGAAATCATGAAATTAATAAACACAAATAAGGAAACAAGTGGCATGGCAGAAGCACAGTTGTAAAGCCTCTGGGGTTTGTAGTGGATCACAATCAACCTCTCCAAACTGAGGATGCTCTCACAGAAAAGGAAACTTGCATCTTGGGATGCACTGAATGTCCTAAGCAGACACAAGTAAGTTCTCTCTACCTACCACTGGCATATCTAACCTTTCAATAGGATAAAAAAAGCATGTGGAAGAGTCCAGAGAAGACTGTTAGAATTACGAAAATGTACAAGGAGAGACTTGTTTGACAAGAATAAAGAGAAAATTGAGGTAAGAAGGCCAGGGGGTCTGCTGCCACCAAAATTTTCAGGAATTTATTAGAAAAGTAAGTAGTTACTGCCCATGTCTGCTTAGGATACAAAAAGATAAGCAACTTCAGATTCAACTCTCTCCTACTGCATTCAGGTGTATCCTCAGCTCTCTTAACTTGAACAGATCTTCTTACTGTATTGAATTCAAATTCACAATTCTCACCATCAAGCCCTTAATCATCTTCTCTTGCTTTTGTCCGTGACAAACTACGCCCTGACACTTCCCTTTTTCTTTTGCCCCTCTCCAGTTTTGTCCTCTAGCATGACGCTCCCACAAACAGAGGACTTCCTCCTCTGAAGCCCAGATCTCTGTGCAGTGCCCTTGCTGTGAAATCATCTTTCCCTCACTGTTACTCATAGATTACGCCCACCCTGCCTCCACTGCTTTCTGACCTGTGCCATGTCTTGACGGAGTTTAATGCTCTTTAGATGCCTGAAGTGCCTTTGTGAAGCGCTTTAGAAACCTACAGGTATAAATCCCATTATCAGCATCTGTCAATGCTTCCCTTCTGCTACTCCTGACTCTAAAAAAGCAAATCTAACAATAACAATCTAACAAAGGGGCTTTGGAAAGGGTTAGAGAACCCAAGAAAACAGAAGCAAATGCATATTTATTGGTGAGAGCAATGCCAGCTAAATTAAAGGGTTGAGGGCTTTGCTAGCATCCAGTAGAGAAGCAATATGCCATCTAGTGGAGAGAAAATGGAAAGAGAAAGGGCAGGTAATCGGCTGTCTCCAAGATGTTTTAGTAGAGAACTCCTTTGAAAGCAGGGTCCCATAAGCAGCAAAAAAAATTTACGCAGGACTTCAATTTCTGGTTTTGATGTGAATCAGTTTATACCATGAAGCCTGGTATCCCAGCCATCCCCTCCAATATCAAACTTTCTTGCTTCATAATATCCCCAAATCTATTCTGTGTGTTCAGTACACCAAAAATCACCTGTTCCATTGTTGCTTCGTGAAGTTCATTCAAATTCAAAGTATAGATGCCTTCTTCTGTGCCAAAGATAATGTACTGGTCTAAAAAAGTAAGAGAAATTGATTATTTCACAAGCTCATTACCACTTTGGCAACAGGAAAGTTTAAAATAGAAACCTAAAGTAACTTTACCTTTAGTATCTGGATGTATCCATGATGTTGCACAATTAATCTTCAAAGGACAACCATCAAAGACTTTGGAAAAACAAGCTCCCATCTGCAAAACACCAAAACTGAAACCTGAAACAAGTTTACAGTAGAAAGTGTTTATCTTCTGGCACTTGGCCACTTAGTACACACCTGTACACACCTCTGCTCTCTTTTTTCCAGACACAAACTTACTCTAATATGCCTTGATGCAAAACATTTTTATCTCCCCCAAAAGCAGCCTTCCAAACCATTAAGAAACACAAAGAGGAATCGGACTGATAAGAACAATTTTAAGTACCTGCTGGGTAAGAACAATATCGAGTGCTTATATAAATGGTGTATGAAGGGAAAAAAAAGCAGAAATGTTGCAGTAATACCACCCTCTTGCTTCACTAGCACCTCTCCCCCTTTCTCTTTACCAAGCAGAGACTGCCACTGGAGATCACAGCCCACAGAGGAAGCCTCCAACCCTTCACATCCAGACTGAATGATGAAAGGAAGTTTTTAAGAAAAGGAAACAAATATTGTGGATTCAGTACACGAAAAAGTAACTGGCTATGAGATGCAGAAAATCACCCCAGATGAGCTGGTGGTTTATTCTAGCATAAAGCTTCTGACACTAGAGAGATGCCACAACAGCAGGCTTCCCGTAACTCCCACTGCAAATGAGATTTCTTACCAGCACCTTCGGTGTTGGTGGTAAACCATTGATTGCTGGCTTCTGTGGGAAGAAAGAAAGATCATTAAATACCTCCCACGCACCGATATAAAACTAGCTAGCTAACATGACAGTGAAATCCGACTGAGAGTCACAACACTTACAGGAAAATCTCTTTTCTCTTTTTTACGTGGCAGTTGCGGGATTTGTCCGGACCCTTCTGTATTTTCTTCAATGAGTTTCAGCATGCCATCCCCATTTCCTGAAAAGAAGCCCAGACACATTTTGTAGCTCACTTGACACAGTGAAAAAGAAAAAAATTTTGCTGCCCTATAATCTGTTCTCCCCTGTATCTAGCAAGAGTGGAGAAGAGGGAGTTCTGAAACTTCTGTACACACACCTCAGGCAGCAGAACCCTTCCAGGGACAGCTGGCCACTCTTCTGTGTGCTAAGCTACCCAGTTTTAATAAAGGCTTTCCGTGACCCAAACAGTCCCTGGGCCAAACACAGCTGAGAATAACGCTGCGGCAAGCTCCTCACAGATGATCCTCCCCGCACATTTGTTGCTTTTACGCTATTCCTGCAGGCAACCCAGGAACAGCATTAACTGGCTGAGTGTCCTTGTTTCGGGAAGAACATCTCCACCATGGGTCATGGCTCTAATAAGAGCCAGTGCACAGGTAAAAAGGAAAGCTGCACTTTATTTTTTTTTCATAAAAATGATCATATCTACTGAAAATAGCTCTGGACTGATTTCCTTTTACAGGATGCAAAGCCACCTTTAGGAAATGTAAGGCATTTACCTACGTCGCTGTATCTGGCTGTGAGCAACCCAGGGCTGCTGATGCTGCTGGTCATACCAACGGGGGAAGAATCAGTCTGAGGCCCGCAAACAGGGATGCTCTGTCTCCGGTGAGCTGGTGGGGCTCTGTTCTGCGAGTCTGGGAAATGTTTTATTGTCTGACATTTCTCATCATCTGGGAGGTTCTCCTCAGGATAACTGTTTATTCTCGGCTGCAACAAACCAAAGAAGTGAAGGTTACCTGGGGAATGGCACCTGAAAGCACGGACTTCAGATGAGTTTAACTCAAGTCAGACTGCTTCTACATTAAAAAAAAAAAAAAATCAGGCTTTGAAAAAAGACATTTGACAGCAGAAAAATCTACGAAGTATTCCCTTCTCTGATGGAAAACCACAGCAGCAGGCAGAATGCTGAACAAGAGGACATCCCACGCAGCATGCTCTCTTTAGAGGAAAAATACCTACAGGTCACTTTGTCTAGGGCACTGTATAAGGCCAGGAGTCCCAGAGGTCGAGACCGTACAGACTGCAAGTCAGCAGAAAATACAGAGCTGCATGATGTCTGCTGGCAAATGGTATGTAACAGAATTTACAACCTACTGAGAGCAGCAGACAGAAGCGCTGCAGAGGCTGCACAAATGAGGTTTTGCCACTTAAACCTCTTTAAAACCCACCACCTCTTACCTTAGGAGGCAGCGGAGGTGGCCCTGCTCGCTTTAGTGTCGATCTGCAATGAAAAGGTGCGACAGTCGTCTTAGTTAAACCAACACCACAAACAGAATTACTTGAGAACACAGATGGTAAATAAGACGCGCTAGACGCATAGAAAACATGGATCGCAGCTTTGCATGAACAGGGTTAAACTAGAAGTGGGAAAAAAGCACGTTAATCTTGTTAGAAGTGTTGGGTTTCGATAAACTCATGTTCTTTCATAAATGCCAGTGTTACAGAGCGTACTGTGGCGAAGGGTATTTGAAATTAGCAAATAAATATATGTTCAGGGACTAGTTCTCTGAAGGTGCCCCTTCCCACTGCTTGAATTTTATTTTTGCACTTGTTTTTACTAGAAAATCCTTCCCGAGAGCAAAAATGCTGCATTTCTGGAACAGCCAGTAGATCGTGTCACAGAGCAATGTCCTCCCATAATTTTTCAAAGTTTATTTGAAAAACAGGTTTATTGGTCATCTACTCACAGCCACCCCCACGGCAGCCGAACTTCGGGCCAACCAACAAAGAGGTTCACCACCGCTGGCTGCAGTTTGCAGCTTTTGCTCTGGATCAGACAAACATTTGGGCACCAGAGGAGCTGCACATACCCCACGAGAGCTCTGCAGGAATACCTGCACGTCCTGTCACTACCCGACCCGGCTCATGATTGATATATTAATCGACATAAAATCTGCTTTAAAGTATTAGGTGCTTTCACAGGCACTCTGAGATAACCTCAGGAAGGAGAGCAGGGGAAAAAAGCATTGCTTTGCAGACATTCTCCTGACGATCAGATAAAGTCAAGCGTGCGTTAGACCTTTGAGTGCAGCCCGCCCTCGCTTATATTTATGAGCGGCAAAGCTGCCTGCAGCATTTTAAGGGAAGAGGTTTTGCCAGAACGCTGCCTGCTTTAGCGAGAGCCGCACGGAGTAAACACAACTGTACGCGAAGGAGGTCCACTCACTCTTCAACATCTTCGCTCCCATCGCCAAATTTTGTAAGCAGTCCCCTAGGTAAAATGTTTATAAAATTAAGAACTCTGCTCCAAGGTCAACACGTGCAACTAAACTGATCAGTGAGGTCATTTAGTTTCATAACAAGCACCTCCCAGCCCTTTTCAAAACAAAGTATTTCTCTCTTATTCACTGCGTTAAGCCCTTTTTCCTTCCCCTCACCCCCCAATAATCATTGAAGCTCTTTTCCATACCAGACACCATCAACTCATCTCTCGTTTCCCTACCTGGCATTTTAAAGATTGTTGAAATGCCTAATAAGAGTATGATATAAAAGAAGAAGGAAAAAAAAAAAGAGAACAGAGGAAGAGACTGGGAGACAAATGGAGAAAAGTCTTTAGATAGTAAGTTTCCTCCTTTAGTGCTATATGCTGAAACACAGACTGTTTCCCATTACATTGGGAATTTTTGTTTCAAAGCTACCGCAGGGTCAAAAAAAAAAAAAAAAGGATCAAAGCAGCACTGAAAGTATAATCCTGAAACAAACACAAACTGATAAAATTTTGCAAAATGGCAGTTTTCAAGCTGTGTCTCAAAAAAAACCCCCAAAACCCCTGCATTAAATCTAAGAAGCTAAACCATAAAACTAAACCCAATAAAAACCATTCCTTAGCATGCTGTTGTGATGTTGTGAAGTCTAGGCTTCGGCATTTAGGAATGGCGAGGTGGAGAGGCAGCTCAGAAGCTGTCTCAGTGTTCAGCCGGGGACAGGCTCCTCCAGGCTGGAGCAGCTGGGGCAGCCCAGGTCTCTGCCTGCAGAGCAGACAGCCCGTATCCCACCGACTCACGCATCCTTCCACAACACACCACCTCACCCACGGAGGAATGACCTCAGGGGTAACGAACAGGAAAATAAAAGCATATTATACAAAAACTAACCCAGGCAAATTTGGATTAATATAAAATTTCCCTGCGAGTTACTTCTGAAGGAAAAGTGGCAGAAAGTTGCCAACAGGAATTATTAAAAAATTTAAAAGAGAAAAAGTCCAACCATCAACAAAACCCGCGTCCATAATGCAGAAAATGTATTTTTAAAGTCATTTTAAAATGCTACAATAAGGATGAGAAAAATCAAGAAACAAATTTAATCATCAGGTACACATTTCAGTATTCCCCTTTCCAGTCAAGTAACTCCCAAGCGGAACGCATCAATCACCATTCACTCCGATAAAAGCCAAAGGGCACGAAGACCCCCCAGCACACATCCTCTCTGTGCATCCCTGGGATTACTCTCAACTGCTGGGACAGAGGAGTTATGCATTTCCTGTTTATCTTTTCAATCTGGAAGTGGTTTCCAAGTAAGCAGCACGGATTCACCATCCAGAAACTTTCTGCCTGTCCTCCTTTCCGTACTAAATCTGTATCAATTTACTGACTTACAGCTCTAGCAACGTTTGCTATGGCTACATTCATTCTGCTTTTAATACAGCTTTTAATACAATCTTAATAACGCTACAGAAACAGAATCAAAGCAAGAAGTCACTCTGCCAGGAGGAGCTTCCCTCCCTCCCTCCCTGCTCCTTGACCCCGCAGATTCCAGCTGTCTGCAGAAAAGTCAGCGCTCACGAGAAAGGCTTTCGATCTGCAGCTCATCAGGGTCACACACACAAAACCAGAGAGGAAGGAAAGCGGCCGCTGTCATTGCTGGACAGGGAGAGGCAGGGCCTAGAGTGCCACCCCCAGTTTTTACTACAAGAAGAGTGAGAGATGAAAAACAGGTTGAATTTAAAAAGTCTCGAAAACTGGCAATCTCTGTGACACAGCCAGCTTTCCAGGGGGCTGTAATGTCAGCTGACAGCTTATGCAAGACTTTATCTGCAAAAAAGCCAAAGAAATTCACTGTCTGCTACTCTGTTCCAAACTAAGATGGGAAACAGGCTCTTTTAGCTGAGCAGTTCTTTCAAC